CCTTAGCCCTGAGTCACAACAACCAGCTTCTGCCTCCGGCTGTGTCACTACCGTGTGGTGTGACCTTGGCGCAGGCTTTGAGCTGACTGTGCAGGGATTGCAGCTTCTTGATTAATAGCCTTGCTCAGAGTTAGATCCCCTTGGTTCGACAGCACAAATGAGTCTTCATTACCCTGGTAGCAGCGTGGAGTCCTGGCTCAGGAAAGGAGCACAACCCGTTCCTGGCTTGGGAGCCCTCAGCACCATTAGTTATATTTGGATTGCAGTGTAAAAATTGCCAGTAAGGCAGAGACACTCAGGCCTACAAACATTGCGTGGGTTTAATTAAAAGGAGGATTTTAAGCAGCTTTGGGCACAGATACTGTATACTTCTCTATTGGTTTCCATCACTGCCTCAGTAATGAATTGTCAACGAGTTCAAATGAAATGAGCTTTCATTCTGCATGGCATAAAGCTCTCCAAGGGGGAGAGGTAGCTGCTTCTGAAGAGGGTTTTAGTAGTATGTAAAAAAAAGGGTGAAAAGGGGGAAGTTTCTCCCTTCCTGTGTGTTCACAGGGTGGAGATCACAAGTGCAACCTATGCAAGAATGAGCCTCCACCAAGCGGCTGGCCGTGCAGAGGACACCTGTGCTCCAGCAACGCGTCCAAGTGCCGCTCCCTGTCTCCAAAGGGACTCTTGTGAGTCTGTACCTAGAAGTGGCGAAGCCCTTCGCTGGCCTGGGGCGGGCAAGCTCAGCATTTTCCAGGATGGGGCCCTGGCTTTTGCAGCATTTCGGTGTGTCGTGGGGGGAGTGCTGTGGGTATTCTCTTGGTCTCCACGTTAAGCTCTCAGATTTTCCCAGAGAACTGGGCAGAGCGAAATGCAGTCCCAGAAAGGGAGCAATTAATTAAGCAGCTCTGTGCCGCCTTCTGGTGTTGACCCCAGCAACGCCTGCGAAACTGCATAAATGCGCTTGGGCTTGCAGTCCAGAGCTCTGAGCTGGGTGAAGCTGACTGCAAAGGGACCCGTTTCAAAGCCTCTCTTGTGTTCTTTGGTAGCACGTACAAGGACAGTGTGGCAGACATTACTGCTCTGCCTGTACTGGCTAAGGGAAAGGGCTCGACAGATTATTGGGCTTGCCTGTTTTTTTCTTTTCCCCTCCTGTGTGTGTGCTTTTGTCGGAGATGAGGAATGAGCACTACTGATTTTTATTTTTTTTTAAGACTCTTGAGTGCCCACAACCCCAGCTGACCTAGGCACTTTTGGAGACTTTGCCAGAATTTTCCAAGTTATTTTTAAATGCTGGAAGTCTTGCTGAAGTCTGGGAATGTTAAATGATTGATTATTTGCATCGTAGAGCATAGGAGTCACAGCCCTGGACTGAGGCTCCATTGTGCTAGGTGCTGAATGCACACAGAACAAAATGACTGGTTTTGCCCTCGGTACCATGAAGTCGGAGCGGAGTCAGCGCCCATCCCTCATTTCTAATGTATTTAGATGTGCTCGATGTGATTACAGCAGTGTATCAAATCCCAGATATGTTTTTTTAATAGCAGATGAAGAAATAAAGGTCGGATTTGTGTAGTGTGCGTTTGCTTAGTGTCTTGAATGGCGGAGCACGGTAAGCAGTATATGAATGCCTGGATGAAAAATAGTTGTTCACGCTTGGAGTTGATACCAGTGACGATGTATTTTTAGCTGTGTTTCTCTGTATGTCCGGGCCTCTGGTCAGGGCTGCATTGCCATTACCAGAGGACTTGCATTTACTGCGCTCCTTTGATCGCTTTGCCAGCGTGACATCTGGCTAGTTTCCCTTCGCCAAGGTCCCGGGATTCTGGTGAAGTTCTCACAGTTATTTGTATCTATCTTTTTTCCCCTGTACAATTAGCCTGAGAAATGAATGATTCCTCCCCTCCCTGCAGATGTGGCTTTGGTTTTGGTTCTCCCCCCCCCGCCCCTTCTTCCAAGGGACAGGCAGGTAAGTTCAGCCCTCCACCCGTGATGCTAGGTTCTCTACAGGCTGCCACAAAGCCCTTACCCCTGCTGTTGCTGACCACCTTGAGATAGGCCATGAAGTTGCAGTGCTAACGGTTCGTTTTGTAAACGTAGGTGGTGCTTGGTGTACAGGTTAGAAAAGATTGGTCCTGACAGCATTCCTAGAGCGGAGAAAAGACCGATGTTAGTTCCCATGGGAGTTGTTCTGCACTTGTCCTCCCCAAAAGCTCCGTCTCAGGCACAGAAAGGCTTTATTCTTGCAGCACAAAATCAATCTGTGACTGTGATGTGTTTGACCACCGTTGACATCTTGGAGCAGGGTTTTTTTTTTTTTACTATTTTTAGGTATTTTACAGCCAGCGAGCCCCTGGGAAGATAACTAACTAGTCGTCATGCTTGGGCTGCCATTCAGTAGGAAATAAGTCCAGTTCAAAGCGCTCCTAGTAGCCTGCGTTGCTGGAGACTGTCATCTGCCACGGTAACCTACAGTAGCTGAAGTGTCAGTGCCTGTGCCTGGACAGCTGCTGAGAAATAGGTCTCTCACTGGAGCCAGACTGTTGCTCTCGGGGACAGGATCTCCTGCTAGGCAGCTGGTATCACGCTGTAGTTTTAAGTGTTACTTTGAGGACTTCATGTCAGGGAGAAATGGGAGGCTGCACATCAGATCAAGCAGACCTGAGCAGGTGCTTCAGCAACTACAAGCTTTGCAAAATATTTTCGTCTTGTGTCCAGTCCTGGCCCAGTCACGATCTGAACTTGTGACTCAGCTCATTTATTTAGGGAAAATTCTTTCTTTAACTGAAGAGCCCCAAAGTGAAATATTTTGGCAATAGCCTGAAACATGGGCACAGGTAGCACAGGAACCTGCGTCTCCTGTTCCCCGCTGCAGGCCAAGCTCCATGGCCTGGCAAGCAAAAGTTTTTGACCAGCTCTGCCTTAAACATTGAACAATTTTGGCCAAGTGACTCATTGTTTCGCGTTTGTTGTTTGTATTGCTATAGCAATTGAGGCTCTTGAGCTTTGGATCCAAGACCTTGTTGTGCCAGGTGTTGTAGGAACGGGGGGGGGGGGAAACAAAAACAAAACCAAAAACCAAACAAACGACAAAAAGGCCTTGTGAGCAAGAACATGCGTTTCTGTATAACCCAAGACAACAGATGGCTACAGATGGGGGAGCACAAGGAACTGATGAGATAATACTGACCTGTGCAGTGAGTAATAGTCTTGGTACATCACTTATCTAAACATTGCTGAGGTTTTATAGACACTATAGCAAAGGGCAGTTTGAAGGAGGATGATCCAGGCGAGGGCAGAAGTTTACAGTAACATTGCAGCAAGCAAGAAAGGCAGCGGAGGGAAAAGATGCCTGCTGAAAATGATGCTTGAGGAAAGATGTTTGCTGCAAAATCTGGTTGGCATCATAGATGCTGTGGTCGTGCATGAGAAAGTGCAAGTACGGGAGCAAAGCAGAGGCAGGAAGCGTGTTTGGAGGAGCAGGGAAAGCAGAGCCCGCGGGGAAAAGACAGGCTATGTATTCGGAGACTTGACCTGGAACTTTCTTCTGGGGTGTTTACTACAGCAGCTCAAGGAGAAAGAAAGTGCTGTTTCTTTGGATCGTAACCTTTAACCATCATGTGACGTGGGGGAACAGATGAGTGAAGCAGAATATGTGTGTTCCTTTATTTGCGGTGCAGATGCCTCCATAAGGGGCAAAGGAAAAACGCTGCTTTTTGTGGCGTTGCTTATTTAAACTCCAGTTTAACAAAGTTAGCGTGTGCAGAAACTGCAGTGAACATCCTCTTTATGTTGAAAGCTTGCAGGGCAAGATGCAAGTCAAATGCCAACCCCAGCAATTAGCACGCTTCCTTTCATGAGTGTTAAACTGTGCTTAATCTCTACCGATCAGGTTCTTTCTCCTACATCTGCTACAGCTAAAAATAATGTCAAGTTAAAGATGTACCAAAGATAACAGATGCCCAGTCCATGGTTTTTCTGAAGCAGCTTGCTATCTCCCCGATCGTGGTTTGCTTCCCATGTAGCATGAGAGGAAACACAGCTGTCACGGCATCTGTTTGAGCAGCTCTCGCCGGCTTGTGGATGTCCAGGAGCCCAACTGCTCGTGGCCCACAGCGTAAAATGTATTGCTTGGAGCGCAGCTTTGCTACAGTAGAAATAAAACTTTTAAAGGTGGGTTGCTGTTTGGTTTCTTATGATGGAAGTGGAGAATCAAGAAGGCTTTTGTATCCTGTGTAACACAGCATGACGTGACTGCAGAACAAGAGAGGATGTATTTAAATAGACTCCCCAGAAGGTTGCTGGAGAAATAGCTTCACAATAGGAAGTGCATTGGTTGCTTTGGCATAAAATGATATCCCAGACGTGTTCTGTGCAGTAGGGACCCCTTTTAGCTGAACCATTTTTTAGCTGCGTGGAAGGAGCCCAGCTCTCTATCGTGGAGGCTCTTTTGGCAATAAACTTTGGTCTTGCCACTAGAGGGGGACTGCAAGCCGCACACCGTGAGTCCATCCTGCCGGGCTTCGCCAGCCGCCTCTCAGTGCTAACACCAGCCCAGCAACTCCAGCAGCAGGACCCCTGCCTGCTCTGTTGAGCTCTGGGGTGTCACAGCACCCATAAAGATCAGACCTTGCAGCCAAACAAGTGGGAAGGGACGTGGACGAGGGGAGCCTGACTCGTGCGATGTCCGGATGCTTCTCCAGTGATCTGTTTCTGCAGAATGTCACTTTTTATTCCCACGCAGTTACAAAAAGTGTCCTGAGCACGAATGATGTTCCGTGAAAGCTGAAGAGGGGTTGTGCAGCCACCCTGAGTCGTGGAGAGGTGTGAATAACCCCTCTCCATGCCTGGATGAAGGAATCTAACGGCAGCATACCCAGCAGCGCCATTAAACTGGTCAAAGAAGGAATGGAAACATGCTTCTAGATCCTGGGAGAAAAGTGGGGGCTTTAAGTGTTAACAGACACGCTTGTGTCCTGGGCCTGACCTACCTGTTTCTTGTCACCTTGCAGGGCTTTTACCCACGTGTTCACCTTCGGCCCGACCTTCCGAGCGGAAAACTCACAGAGTCGCCGGCACCTGGCAGAGTTCTATATGGTGGAGGCTGAGCTCTCCTTCACTGAAAGCCTCCAAGACATCATGCAGGTGAGCGCTCCGAATGTCTATGCAGAACCGGTGCCAGAACTTCTTCCTCCTTGCTGAGCTGTTCTCCCTGCCCTCAACTGAGGTTGCAGCTCCTCTGGCCCTGGGTGAGCTGGGTAGAGGTTGCGTGGGGACTTCCCGAGGATCAGGGTTTGCTCAGCAGAGGTGAGGCCACGGGGAGGGGATTGGGAAGGGAAGGTATAGGTGCAAACACAGCCCTCATCTGAATGGGAGGCTGCACAGTTGCTGTATTGCCAGGAAATGTGTAAATGTGCTTGTCTGATGCTAATGAAAGTGGCATGGTCCCCTTCAAAACCTTCAGCATCTCTCCAGTGAATCTGAGTAGTATTTATGCAGTGGGTCCCTCAGAGTGCTCTGTAAAGAGCTCCTTGAAACCTGCACTGAAATCTCGAGTAGAAACAGCAGTTCCTGGCCTACACTATTCACTGCGGCTTTAGCAGAAGACTGACAGAAATCCTTAGTCAGCCAGCTTTTGATTTTTCAGGATTGACCTCTCAGTTGCAGTTTAACCACATGGTGGATGCTAATGCATCTTACTAGTCTCATCATAAGCCAGCTTATGCCCAGTAGGCCTTGTGAGTAAACATCTAGGCACACTGTCATATATCAGATAAGTTCCTTGGAAAGCTATTGGAGAAATAGTCTGAAAAAGAAAAAGACCTGAGGCACTGGCTACAGATTTATAAAATGACATCCAGGTGGTGGTTTCCTCAGCCCGGATCGTACCCAGCCTGCTGAGTCAGTACGGCCTGACAGCAGGGCTGGCATACTCTGGCTGTTGTGTGCGTGCTGCTTCTGCGTCCTGGATGGCACTGGGCTGTGTGGCCTGACCTAAAAGCCATCATTAATGGCAGCCATCATTAATGGCAGCCATCATTAATGGCAGCCATCATTAATGGCATCCCACTCTTTCTTTTCTCTCTCCTTTTCTTCAGAACAACTTTGAGCATAGCACATGTATATGTTTATGCCTTACTTCCTGAGCCCCCTGTTTGCCTGGGTAATCAGGAGCTGATGGAAAGCTTCACTGCTTTTATCTGGTATAATGAGCAAGGTCTTCTGTTACGTGGTGTTTGAGCCCTTGAACACAGCATGAACATACCTATACTGTTGTGCTGCGAACCCTAATTTCTTGGCTCCTGAAGTACACACAATTCAGAGAATTAGATTTCAGAACTGTTCTGGAAGGTGTAGGGCTTTTATTTGGAGAGAAAGGAGGAACTCTTCCCCCCAACCCCCCCGCCTTGGCTTGGTTTTTGTTGTTGCTAAACATCTTGGGAAGTCTCAGCTTGTGCTCTCTTCTTTCGCTTCTTCCCCCTGTCCCAAAGTCTTTGACAAGCATCTTTCCAAATAACAGCAAGTCCCCTAGCAGCCATCGTTTTGCACTCCTCATAGCAAGCCTGCGTTGCAACATGCTTACTTCTGTGATGTTCTCATTGGCAGAAGCGGAGTTCCTGTTTTGTTTATTTTTAAATCCTTGGGCAATCTCTCTTTAAAAAAAAAAAAAAAGAACTGACAGCTGCTCTAAAGCCCAAGTATCTTTTTCTCTGCATAACTGACCTAAATTCAGTGTTCTCTCATATATCTGCCTGTTGGGCAATTTGTCTGTTTGTCGTCATCTGCAAGTTCTTTGTTCGGTGCAAAACGCCCAGTTGAAAGCCTTGGGGGCTCTTGGCCAGCGTTAGCATCTGAACTCTGTCCTCCTATAAAGAGCCGGATTGTTTAAAAGTTATTTTTGAAATTGGTATTCAGCATTTGGACTGAATACCTCTCAATTCATCAAGTTAGTCTGCTGGGAGTGCTCAGCTTCTTCAGGGACATGTTGAGATATTTGTTTAGATACTGTTAAAGAAGAGCCTCTCTACAACAATGTACACGTTTGCCATTCACTGCTGAGGCTTGAGGTCTTTCTCTCAGCCAAAGCTCCAAAAGAAACACAGCTTTCCTTACAAAACGAAGAAGATGATGTAATAACGAAGTTACATGTATTTGGGAGCAAAGGGCCTGAAAACTTGGAGCAACAGCCTTTCTTCCCCCATTGTGATTGCATAGAGTAGGGCTCAGTGATGCCTAAATTTGTAGCACAGTTCTTGTGAAGTCTCATTCATCTTGATCATGCAATCTGAATTCCTGTTCTGTGCCAAAATGTGTTTTTTCAAAGAAGCTTAAACTCCTCCAATACTGGTTTCACAATACTGTTAGTGGAAAGTCCCGTGGGCTCAGTGCAGTACTCTGTGCTGCATGGCGGGGTGATAGTATTACTACTTTAGTGTACAGGGTATCTGTCAGTGTATCTAAGGAGAGGCCTCTGTGGCCTCTTCCCATAAGTCTAGTCATGAAGTTGAGTTAAGTTGCCCCAAGGCGCTTTTCCTCCAAACTGGCTGAGAGAAAGAGGGAGTTAGAAGAAGGTTAGGTAAGACGGTGGAAGGGGTCCAATTTGTATGGATTCACTGGAGCCATCGTCCCTCCAGTCCCTGATTTGGAGGTCCAGGGTCTCCAGTCTCACCTGTCCTCTGAGATATCTGCTGCCACCCTCTCCCTCTCTTCAGTACTGTGTCATGTAGGCATATTTGTAGGTCATTATCTTTTGTTTTGTTCCACTGTCTTGGCAATGCAGTGGATTTAAAGGATGCCACTTCACTCATGACACTAGTGGGGTCTAAAAGAGGCCGTACAATGCAGTTATTATCTAATTTCATCAAACACACATACAAAACCATGCTGAAAAAAGACATTGTTTGGGTTATAAAGTTAGGAAATGCCAGAAGGAGGTTTTCCTGAGGGCATTTTTGGGAGTTTATGCATAGTGTTAGTCTTCGTTAACAAGATCGCATCCTAGCACCACTGTCTCTTTAAGAGCTGGAGAATGTATCTTGTTAAGGCGGAGAATCCAATTTAACACACAGTATTTGAGCTCTGTCCTGAGGGCAGAAGTATTGTCTTCCACTGGTTATGTACTTTGTCAAAATTAATTTGCTGTCATTACAGCACGGTGACATACAGCGTTGTTACCTCCGTTTTACAGAAGGGAATTCAGGCATGAAACGAAATCAACAGTAGCACTGATTTTGGACGTCAGTTTTCAGGGACCTTAGATCTGAAACATGGGCACGGTTTGATTTCCAGAAGAGTTTGCACTCAGAGTACTTTGTCTTCAGTGCCAAGGCTGAGACAGTTGGGCACATCTGACTGCGGTCTCAAGGAAACAATCACATGGGAAAGGTTTGTTCCAAGTGTTCCAGCGGCCTTTAGGGACACTGGGGTATCTGCAGGGCTATAGGTTCCTTCTTTGAAGTGGCATCCAGCTCCTATAGCTGAGGCTCCTTCTGTTTCCTGACTTCCCTCAGCATTTATTGTTCAGCTTCGATGGCCAGTGAAGCAGTGGTCTGACGGACAAGAGTCTCCTCCCTTTCATAAGGCAGCATCTCTCCAGAGTAGGTTGGTTATACAGCTGAGAGAGGAGACTTTATGACCAAGATCAGATGCGAATCTCCCCTCTGTGTGTGTGTGTATATGTGCACACACGTACGGTGTGTGTGAGCAAGCATGAAGGCAAGAAGTAATGGTCTGCTTGATGAATGTTTCATATGCAAATACCCTGTGCTCTCCACTGCATCCATATGCATGCCCCAGGTAAATACATAAACAAAAATCCTACTGGCAGTTCTGGTGATTTTTCTGAAAGTGTCTTATGTAATAAAGATGGTGATTTGAACCCTTCTTGTAGTGCCCAGCACCTTCAATTGCTGCAGCTGACACTTACTGCTCTTTTGTTGATACTACTCTGTTTCAACTCTGGTCATAACTGTATTTGGGAAGAGGGTAAGTTGCAGTATCAAAAGATCCAAGTTAAAATTAAACAATGCAGGTGGGAGCTGCTCCTGATCAAAATTGGACAGTTACCCATTAAGTTCCACAGCAACATCGGGGAAGGCCAAGACTGATACCGCTGAGCTACTTTGAAAGGTGAAAATCAAGACAGAGACTGGGAGGGATGAGGGAAGAGGGAAAACTTTGACCCATGTCCTCCTCACCTGCCCTCCTGCCAGCACAATTTCTACGTTTCCATTATGAAGCAACCAAATTAATGGACTTTTGGACTTGAGGAGTCCCACCTCTGAGATGAGCTATTTGCTGTGATTCCAATGGCTCCTTCCCTTGTCTCTGAACAAATATGTTTCTTTTAGGGTACGTTCAAACCAATCACTTCACCCATGTCTCCAGCTCATGTTTTCCAGCAAGCAGGTGGTTATGCTTCTCCACTAATTCATATAGTCTACTTTCCAGTCCTTAATTATATTATCAGCTTAAAGCCGTAACTTCTCAGTTCAAGAGCTTTATTTTTTTTCCCCCCTTTTCTTTTTTTCCTCCACTGTTCATGCCTAGTACGCGTTTGGCATAAATAAGAATAAGAGCAGTGAGGAGGGCAATGCATGACCCATGCGTCTGTCTTTTTTTGCCAGGATAAAACCTCAGTCTCAAACCTGGAAATATTTCTCAGATTGTTTTTCCCATACCACCCACATCTTTTTTTCCACAAGAGGAAGCTGCTTATGTTGAATGCTGTGGGAACCTAATTGTTACTTTATCGCACAGTGAGGGGGAAAAAAAGTGCTAATTAAACAACATGCTTTTCTGAAACCAGATGATACTTTCATTTTCTAGAAAGAGGAAGCTTAATGTAAAATCCCTTCGTCTCTGCCTGGTGAAACCAGATGAATTGCCAAGAAGTTTTCTAATTTCATTTGCATAAGCCTTTTTCTAGCTACTTTGAAGAAAGTTCAAAGCTGAATGTTTGGTTGTTTGCCACTCAGCAGCAGGATCGCTAGCTTTTCATTTCCTCTGGGTTTGAGTACCAGTAGGGGTAGAACTGTTCATCTGCGGATGATAATGTCATTCCTTTATTTGGATCTTCCCTTTTTAAAAAGGAGGGCCCAGATTGATGCAGCAGTCTGGAGGCTGAGTTTGGCTCCAGAGGAGTCAAAGTGGACTGAGCTACCAGCTTCCCTGGGCTGGTGGGGTGCAAGAGGTTGTTTGTCAGCACAGAGCAGCGTGTCAGCGGTTTGGGACAGGTGATGAAGGACGTTCTCCTAAATGTGAGAGTTTGAACCGTGTGTCTCAAATCTCATCTTGGCTATGTCAGCAGCCCAGCTGCTGCTTTTCTGTGCCGTTTGTTCCTCTTACCCTGTAAGATCTGGTTCCTTGCAAGGCAGAGACCCGTTTCTTCCTCAGATCTGCTGACTGAATGTCAGGTTCATCTTTCCACAGTTAGTCTCCCCCAGGCTTTGCGGTGTCTAGGGACTGCTCCTCGCCTAGATGTCGTGGGTGCATACTTCGCTTCTTTCAACTCTGCCATTCATGAAGCAGTTGTTATGCTCACAGAAAAAAATGGGAATGTGCCAGGACTTTCAGAGGTGCCTTTTGTTGGGAAAAACCTGGTCCCATCCCAGGCTGAGATGACGTACAGCCCAGCTGCCTTGCTCTGTTCCTTACAAAGGAAATGAGAATGAGGAGGATGATTTTGAAGAAGAATTGGAATCGTCAGTACTACACAGGTACTGACTGCTTGCTTTGTGCAGGTAAGACTGCAAGGAGTCTTGTAGTCTTGGAACTCTTAATCTGCACAACAGCCAGTGTCTTGGATGCTCTGCTTTCCTTAACCAAAAGAGAAAATTACTCTTAAAACAGGTTGATCAAAATGCAGTGGCATCCCACGTGGGGACTTTTTTGTTTAGAACTAAAGTGGCATTTTAACTTCTTCATGAAGTGAAGCCCATTTTACTGGGTAAGTATACCCAAATTGGATGATAATGTCATTTAGTTAATCCACATTAGTTTAGGGAAATGAAACCACATCTTTTTTTAGTTTCTCAAACACCTCTGCATTGATGGGTCCTCCGCTTTAGCTCTCTGCTCATCTCTGTGCATGTTCTCTTTGCTTTGCTCTTACTGCACAGGGTTTCTCTGGCTGGGATCTGTTTGAGGGGCTGGCTGTACACAGTACATGTTTATTCTCCTCCCCTTCAGTTCTGCCTCTTCGAACAACAAAGCAGAAAACCAGAATTGCTCATTATGGGACAGACACACTCACTAATAACTAATCTGAGACCAGTCACCACAAAGGGTTGTAGCGTGTGTTTGTGGCTGACCATATTCTGCTGCTGGAATATTTTAGGTGTGCTTTATTCGCTGGAGATATCTGACTGAAGATGATGAGCCCATCAGCAGATGCTGAAGCCACAAACCTATAGCAGAAATACAGGTTCCAGACCTCTTCAGCTACTGAGGAAGCCTGCTAATTAGGAGCATTAGCGAGCTGGTACCCCCTTATGCAGTCTGACCATGCAGAAGGACAGCAGCTCCTTCTGTACCCTTTGGCTGATGTGTACCGTGTTTTATTTATAGTCTGGGACATCTAAGCAGTGTTAATTTTTCATGCACTCCTGTTTTCTCTATTAGGTTATGGAAGATCTTTTCAAGACAGTGACAAGTACTGTGCTCTCCAAATGTCCTCGTGATGTAGAGCTTTTTCATAAATACATAGCTCCTGCCCAGAAGGTAATAAATGTGACAGGAAAGAGCTGCAATCCTGCATTTTTGGGGCTTTTGGCTGTAGGGAGGGTTGATTTTTTTAGCGTTGTTTTTTACTGTGTTGTCCTGTGTTAACAAACTGTGAAGAGCTAAAAGCCAGCCTGAGTTTAGGTGATTGTTCAGACCAACAGAGAGAGGACACAACTTTCTGTAGCTGGTACCAAGTGTGGTGGCTGTCACATCGTCTAGCAGCCTCTGAGTCATCAGTTCCGTTAGTCGGGTACCCTTTTAGCACTGAATGGCCGGGAGTGGCTTTTGACCCATATCTAGATCACAGTGCGGGTCTGCAAATTGAAATAGAGGGAGGTAGCTTGGCTGAGTTTCCTCTGGGCCCCTGAACCCTTAAGAACGGCTTTACATTTTCATTTTTTTCTTGTTTTGACCAAGGATAGGTTGGAACAAATGCTGAAGAACAAATTTGTGAGAATTTCCTACAATGAAGCAGTGGAAATTTTGATGCAAGCCTCCCAAACTCTTATACTGAACTAAAGATAGGCCCCAACTCAATGTCTTCTGAGTTAGCATAATGTCTCCAGAAGAGCATGAATTGCAGTTCCCTTTGTACTGTTTGCCGGTTGCCCTTTCCTCTCTGCATGAGGCTGACCTCTGAATCTGATGGCCTTTGACTTTTGCTTCCCTGGACGAGATCCTCTTTCTGTAAGGGTGTCCTCTCTTTCCAGCGTGTACCTGCACAGTGGTTTGCTCAATGTATTGCTTGGTTTTGGCTCTGATGTTCTGCCTTCCTTCAGACTTCCATTCCAGTGGCTCCCTTTTTGTGAAACTATTTTTTGATACTTAAAAATCCTGATTGGTTTTCTATTCCCGATTGCTTGTGCAACTCCTTTTCCCAGTTCTCTGTGTGCTCAAGAACTGAAGGGTTTTGGTTTCCCTCCTTGGCCCCCAAGAATACCTCCTCTCCTCTGCCCTTGCCTGTCTCTTCAAACAGCAGTGCTTTCCGTTCACCCCACAGAACGTGGTAGGACTGCTCAGCCTCCAACTGGTTTTCCTGTTAAGCAGCTACAGCCACGCTTGGGCAACAGGATCATGAAAGATCCTCCCTGTGCCTTGTGCTTGCATAAGAGAGACCTCAGTGAAGTCACTGTCTCCCCATTTCAGTCCTTCTCTCTTTGGACCTAACTGAGATTCCTGAGAGGACAGAGCTGCACTCAGCTTCTCCCGTGGTCCAAGGACAAAGAGAAGGAGTCAGCCTATCTGACTGTCTCTTCAGCTGCTGGCAGATCTGGGGCATTCCTAGCTTACACACCTCAGTTACATGTGTTGAACCTGTGCAGCGATATACCTCATCTGGACCATGGCCTCACGTAACCCAAACACGTGGAGCCATGTGTTCCTGCTTGAGGTATTTCCTCCAGAAGCCTTCCCTGTATTAGTGAAACCTTGTAGCTGGGTGTAAAGAGCTTGGGCTTTTTTAGGGAGTTTGGTTTCTAATTGGATTTAGCCAATGGTACAGAGAGATGAAGTTATTGTGATCAGGTTATTCTTTCTTCTCTCTGTCCACAACATTTGCTTGGTATGTGGAAAACTTGTCTGAAAAGTATCTTCCGTTGAGTCTTGATTTCCAGTTTCTCAAACCTGCAGCATCTTTCACTGCACTTTTTCTGTTTGCTCTGCCATGATGATACTGTTTTGTACTGGTGGAGGTTGGTGGAGAATCTGCTCTCAGATCTGTCAGATGAGTAGAGGAACATTGCTGGAAATAAATATCACAGTTTTTGCAAAGTAAAATGGCAGTGTTTGAGTTACAAGCCCTTTGCACTCTGGGCTGTGATTTTTGCCGAACACCATGCTGAACAGTGGAGCTATGTTGTTGGACTGTGCCGATGAGGGCTTATTGTTTTCTTAAAAAAAATCCACAGATTTCTACGAAGCAGGTCTCTGCAGAGCTCATTTCTGACTGAAATGCAACATTGCAATAATGTGTCTTGAGAGCTTAGCTCTTCCTGCCCTGCATGTAGCTGAAGCACAGGAAAACATAGGGTTCTTGCCATATAAAATCGGTTTTGGTTTCAGTCCAAAGCAGCATTGCTGGGAAGTCTGACATCACAGCACAAGTTGGCATGGTGATGGGGAAATGCCTCCTTAATTTTCCAGTGCGGCGCTTAGCCAGAAAACTTTCTTGTTATTCCTTTTGTAGTTATCTTAAAGACTTTTTTTTTTGTTTTCCTCTTGCAGAATTTCCTACAATGAAGCAGTGGAAATTTTGAAGCAAGCTTCTCAGACTTTCACTTTCAAGCCAGAGGTAGGTAGTTGCCTGGTGGTTTGTCCCTGTGCCTGTTCATGCACACGGCCAGCCTGACCTTCGTAGGTGTCACTTCTCTTTCTGATAACACAAGAGTTGTTACTTTGCACAGGTTATCTGTCTCCTGGGGTGTTTGCTCGGACGTAACCCAGGTATAACTTTTGCCCTTTGGGGTGAAATGGGAGCAATATAAGGAGTGAGTTCTGAGGCAGAAGAACATGTAGCGTTTGCAGGGAAGGAAGTGATGAGTTTGCTGTTGAAGGACGAAGGCTTTGGCGAAAGCACTTCTCTTTCCTGTATGCAAGTAGTGCCAAGTGTGTGGTGGATTCAGTAACAGTCATCTGAGGAGGATTGCTGTAATAGTTCTCGGATAAAGCCATGATATTAGGACAGCATCAAAAGTTTGACAAGGACTAGTAAGTCAAAACCATGTCAAAATACCGTGTAATAGATGTAGGTAAAGGGAATCCGTTGTCTTTCCAAAGGATGCATGTTGACTTGGAAAAAGAATCACATGTTAGTGTTTCTAAGACTGTTAGATTATGGTTTTCTGAAAATGGTATATTGCCTAGTTTCAAACACACACACCCCAGCAGGGAGAGTGTTTATGGTGGTGCCCATCTCACGTGTGTACTGATGAATCTTTATCTCGTTCTGATGCTTTGAGGAAAATAACCCTCTGGCTGAAGCTGCCTTCATAGCCAATTGGGTAGCTGTCTCATCTCTGTGTACCAGTGGGTGTAGAACCTCAAATCCTGTATCTGTACTAGCTTGATCCGAGACAGCAAACTCAGGATATTTTCGGATGAGGAGAGTCTGAAGAGTATCTGTTCCCCTCTTCCCCATCCACTCCCCCAATATGCTTTGCACATCCTGTAATGGACTGCAGGCTTCTAGTCAAAAGCCAGAGAATTTACAACTTTGCTGGAAGAAAGGAGAAGTGAAGGATGTTGCAAATGCCCAGGGTTTCTGATAACAAAGAACTGATTGATAGGATACTGTGTTTTCTTAAATGAGAATTAATGTAGCATGTAACAGGACACAGCAGGGAAGAGAGCAGTCAGCCTAGCAAGGGTAATATACCAAAGGTAATACCGAAATAAGGCTGGTTTGCTGGGTTGAGTAAGCTGATTTTGGATAGGTGCCTATTTCCCTTAAGCTATGCAGAGTGTGGGTTTGGGGTTTTTATTTGTTTGTTTGGGTTTTTTTCCTGATTCGATACCAGATGCTTGGGCTTGATGCAGGGATGATCTGGCCCTTTCTGTGGAAGTGAAACCACGTTGTTTTTCATTGCTTTGCTCTGCCTTAAAACTCGTGAAACTCTTCTTGCTTAGCACATTTTCCCAGTGGCCTGTGTGAGGAGTTGCTGTGCTTGGTTTCACGCTATTCAGAGCTGCATGTCTCTCCTACGCAGGGATTTTGCTGTGCTCTTGCCACAGGCGGGATGCACCAAAGCAGGATCCCAAGTCCCTTTTGCTGTCTTTACAGTGGGGCTGTGACTTCCAGACAGAACATGAAAAGCACCTGGTGAAGCACTGTGGGGAGGTTCCCGTGTTTGTGATTAACTACCCATACGACCTCAAACCTTTCTACATGAGGGACAACGAAGATGGACCTCAACACACAGTGAGTCCATAGCTCACACTTCCACCTCTTTTTGGCTAGGTATGTGCCTTAGCCTAGTGATAGACAGACAGATGAGGACAATCTTCTGCTGGGCCTCCAGTCAAGAAGTCCAAGATAAGAAGTGACCATCTGGTGATCCTGTTCGGTCATTTTCCTGTTGTAGAAGAAATCCCCAAAGCAGGAAAAATGGGAGAAGTATTCAGGAGTTGGGTAGCGTTAAGTTTTCCCTGGAGTCCTTTAAGACAGATTTGCCATAGTTTATTTCTTTTTCTGGTAGACTTGACTGCTAGGGAAAATGCCTAGAATTGTGTGGCTCAAGCAGCCTGTGATTCTCTTGTCATCTAAATCTGCCATCTGTGTAATCCTCCAATAGCAGGTGGACACAAGATGTAAACTCTTGCTCCACAAGTCTCACGCTTTGAAGGTGTGGGTTCCCAGTTAAACTGAGACAACCTGAATCATTGCTTCTCCTAGAAAGAGCGGCTACCCCACTGTGTGCCACTGCCGCTTCACTGGCTTTAATCCTGACAACAGTTCAGCTATGGGGTAAGAGAAGTAACTCTGCAAAACAAAACGGAGAAGAAAACCAGCCCAAACGCGGCACAGGGGAACACGTGGGATCCTAACGCTTCTTCAGCACGTCAGTGCCATTGATCCATCGGTGTCGTCGTCACTAGAGCTGGTTTAAGGAATGGGTTCAGACAGGGTAAACACGAGTTACCAGTATCAGAGCAGCTTAAACTCTAAGGGCACCAGGGCTTCAGGAAACTTGCCCGTGTGTCTGTGTCTCCTTGTGAGCTGCTGTTGGGTTCTCTATACCTTGCGCAGGCTTGCCTGCAGGCATGCACAGGTTGTCACCGGAGTAACCTGGTGGGATTCGGTTCACACCACCTGCTGTAAGATGTCCTCAGTCTGGAACGCCACGGCGCTTGTTTAGGTCTTTTGGAGGCTTACTGAACTGTAAAGTTCCCTCCCAGCCTTCTCTTGTCAAGAAGGGACTTTTCAAGTTTTTGCAAATACTTACCTAAGTATCCTGGACTCAGTAAAATAATTATGATAGTTTTTTACAGCCATCCAGTGTCGACTGTACTTCTGATGTAGACTGTATGGCTACATGGCATGACTTATGTTAAATTTCTTTCTTTTAAGGTTGCAGCTGTGGATCTCCTCGTACCAGGAATAGGGGAGTTGTGTGGAGGCAGCTTGAGAGAGGAGCGACTGCCCTTCCTCGAATCACGCTTGCAGAGGTACGGAAAACCCACAGGTGCCAGGAGACAAGAGACTGTTTCGGCAGCTCTCAGCGGTTGGCAAGACAAAGGAGTGGAAGGGCAACTAATGCTATGTTTAAAAAGCCTGGTTTTGTCTTTGAGATATCTGTTTATCTGAGTAGGTGATTGCAAACTGGTGAAGAAGTTCTTGTGCTTCTCTGGTAGGTATGGAAGCTGCCTCTCTGTTTTAGCTCATCAGAGAGGAAGAGTTTATTTTATGCTAGGAGGCCAGGGCAGCAGAATGCCTCAGCTCTGCTGGGACTGTCTGGAACAGGATCCGATGTGAGGCACTTCATCCTCGAACCTTTTCTTTGCGGCTTTTGTGGCTGAGGGTGGATTGCGAAGGTGGAAGTTGTCACATAGACCGAGCTTAGATACATTTGTCATCACATTGTGTAACTGATGAACTGCAGTTTTGGTCGGAAGCTTTGCTAGCTGTGGTGCAGCTGGCCTCAGTGGCATCATTTAAGAGAATACAGTTCTTTGCTAACAGTTTGGTGGGAAGCTTCACTGGAAGTGGCTGGGGGC